TCCCTTCCCTTCCCTTCCCTTCCCTTCCCTTCCCTTCCCTTCCCTTCCCTTCCCTTCCCACGGCCGCCCGCGTCCCCAGCTGCTGGGTGATGTGCTGCAGCCGGGGCCGCTTTTTCCCCTTTGAGACCCGCTTGTGCCCGGTGTGTGCCAGTTCTGCAGCACCGCCCGATGGGCAGGCACAGCTTGGAAAACACCCGTCGTTTCCTCCGGGTCTTTCTGCTGTTCTCAGAGGATCGCACTACCTCAGACACCCGTGAGGGAAACTGTGGCTTCCTTCCAGCATCTTTCTTTTCTGAGGTAGCCAGAAACGAAAAGTGAACCTCGTAAAATGGCTTGGTCATAAAAACACTGAGAGAGCCCGCCCTTGACCTAATGGTGCAAATTCCCATATGGAATCCTGGTGATAACTAGCATCTTCTACCACTGCGTAAAACAACAGCATTAACAGCATACCTCTTACACTTTGCATTTTACTCTTAATCTTGCACCTGTGGGAAATAGGAATTTAGGCATTCATCTCCAAGTCATACTTTTCCCATCTAGATTTCTACTTGTTGAACTTCGATCATCCTTGTGGGTCCCTTCTGACTCACGATATTCTATGATTGTCCTGTGACTGCCATTTTTCTCAGCATTAACATGTGTTACTTAAAATCTTTGCTCTGTTTTTGCTGTGGTTTAGCTCATCTTGAATGAAAATAAGAAAAGGAAAAACCAAAATGAAAAGAAAGCTAAAAAGCCAAAGTTGCTGTCATTTTTTAACATTCAGTGCTATTTGAACATACAGCAGCTGTATTTAATATGTCTCATAAATTGTACATGGTGCAAGTTGAGATTTTATTTTATAGTGGTTTTTATCCTACAGACTGCAGCTCCCTGAAAGTGCCTGGCATACATCTAGCACATCTGTGTGAGATAATCAAGTACAGTATGTCCATCAGTAAGCCTCAGTTTTGTATTAATTCCTTACAGCATTGCTGGAAATATTTACGCCTCTGCAAATCACAAATGTCTGGGATTGAAATCTGTGTGGTACAGATGGGCAAACTCTCCATCTTTATATGGAGGAGCTGTAAATATTAAACAAAAAGCAGTTTAAGTGTCACATGATTATAAATGGAAGTCCTGTTATTTCTTATGTTTTCCCTGCCCCCAGTACTTCTGTTTCCCTGACCTCTTTTGCTGTCAGTCGCTCCTAACTCTGTGTCAAGACTGTGATGCTCTTATGGCCTTTTTGCTGTGAGTCAGTGTATTGGTTTCTTTTGTCAATGCTTTTTCCCATCCCAATTATGTTACTGTTAGACGTGCATTTGTCACCACACTAAGTAGGAGAACAGCAGCTTCTGCAAATGAAGTTCAACAAGGCCAGGTACAAGTTCCTGCACCTGGATTGAGGCAATCCTAGGCACAAATATAGTCTGCAAAGGGAATGGGTCGAGACTAGTCCTGGGGAGAAGGACTTGGGGTGTTTGTGGTAAAATACTGAATATGAACCAGCACCGTGTGCTTGCAGCTCAGAAACCCTACTACCTGGGCTGCATCAGAAGAGGTGTGACCAGCAGGTCAAGGAAGGGGATCCTGTGCCCCTGCTCAGGTGAGACCCCACCTGTAATAATGCATCCAGGTCTTGGGCCTTCTAACTCAAAGAAGGCTAGAACTGGTCCAGAGGAAGACACTAATCACAGTGTCTCTGATCACAGGATGGCAGCAC